TCGACTATTTGGTCTGTTGTAATGATTTTGTGACGAATTTTGTGTATTTCTTCGTTCTGGTGATCTTCCTCTATAACTTGAGTTATATGGTGATTGAGTTCTCGTGTAATTGGTATTGTTCGGAAATGGTTTTCCTGAACCTTTGTTGCTGTATACATTTTTGTTTGGTAGATTTTGATCTTTCTTCATGTATTGATAGAATGATTTATTTGGTTCTTTATATTTTTGAGGTTTGTTTTGATTGTCCTGTTGTTTTTGTCTACATTCAGAAATACTATGTCCGTATCGTCGGCAATAATTACACCATTTTTTGAAAAATGGTTTGCCTTTAAAGTTTGGGTGTTTTTCATAAATATTGAGTATTTCAGTGATTTTTTCAACGAGGTCTGTATCTGATTCCTGTATATTGTTGATATTTGTGGTATTTGTTTCAATTCGGTTAACATATTGTAATTTCAGATTTTCTGTTTCTTCAAGTTTCATTGTGATTTCCGCTTGCTCTAATTTGTCTACTAGTTTTCGAAAATCTAAATCGGGCTCTCGAATTGAGGAGGGATGGGATGCTCTCTTTTTTATTACTATTTTCCTTAATTGAGGTGTTAAGGTCATCATTAAGATTTCTGTCATTTTTGTGTTTTTATAGTCGTGTGTATTTAATGAATATGCTTTTCGAACTAGTGTTTCGATACGTACTGCTAATTGTTTGATGGTTTCATTTGGTAATCTGCGAATTTCATTACATAAAACTCTTTGTTGTTGTTTGTTTCTTTCGGAGTCAAACATTTTTGAAAATTCTTGTGTAAATCTTTTCCAATTTGATTTTATTTCTATAGGCAATACTGAAAACCATTTTTGGGCTGCGTCGTCTTAGGTTGTCTGTATCAACGCTGTGCGTCGATGTATCCAGTTTTGATGTAGTGGCGTATTAATTGGTTCAGGTCCTATATTTAAAATTAAATTTGCTGTTACTGCATTTTAATAAACTTCTACAGAATATTCAGGGTCTGTTCCTGTGAATACCATTAATGGTTTGTTTGATGTTATTGATGATCCACCCATAAGGTATGGATTCATTGTCATTTGTAATGATTCTGCGGAATTTGGCATTTGTGAAAAATTTGAAAGTTGATTTTTTGTTATTTCGTGTTGTTGAAGGTAATATGGGAGTGGTATTTCATTTTGCATTTGTGTTGGTTGATACGAGTGTGTAATCATTGGGTTTTGTGGCTGAATTGGTTGAAAAGATTGTGTATTAATTGGGTTTTGCATTTGTATTGGTTGTTGATTTTGTGTATCTATTGGGTGTGGAGAAAAAATTCTATGATATGTATGTGGTTTCTGCACTCTTTGTCCACGATACTCTTGAGTGTATGGTGCAAATATATCTGGTTGTAAATAATCATCATCAGAGGATAGGTAATCCGTTTGATGAGGTGCTTGTTTTTTTTTTATTCTGTTGAAAGAATGGGTAATTTTCACTACGATCCTGTGGAGGATGTGAATTAGTTTGAAAATTTACTGAGTTGGTTGTTGCCATTGGATTATCCCAATATTGAGATCTTATCTGATTATTATTATTTTTTCGTGGGGGATAGTTTGTTTTTGATGAATGTGTGTAATTATAATTGTGTTCCGCAAAAGTGTTTCTTGTGAATGTTCTGCGTGTTTTTGACGGTATTGTCATGGGTCTATATGTTTGATAATCCATTTGTGAATATTTTGGAGCAACTGAAGGTTTAACGGTTGATTGTAAGGTTACCTGTGCTAGTGAAGTGTTTGTATTTCTTGGTGTTGTTAAATTTGGACGTATCGGTGAAATACTTTGTTGTGTAGTTGTTGTTGTTTGGATGATTTCTTCATTTATGTTGTTTGAATATCTTGTTGAGTGAGATTCCTAGTTCCATTAAGGTTTTCATTGTGTATGACGGTCGAATTTAAACTGTTATTTCGCGTATCAGGTAAAAATGTATTGTAGTTTAATGGTGTTGCATCAATGGTTAATGGTACTACTCTTACATAATCTCTTGCATAAGATATTGTACTTATTGCTTGACTTGAGATTGATTGTGGGATATTTATGAATGCATAATGAGACCATTCGGGGTCCCAAATGTAGTCTGATTGTTCTGTGATGGCGGTATCGTCGTTTGAATTTTGAGGTCTAAAATTTTTTCGTGCTTGTGAAATTAAATCTATATTATGTGTGAAATAATCTATTATAAACCATGCCAAAATTTTTTGTAAGTCATGTTTTGTATGTTGTGAAACTTCATCTTTAGTGAAATTTTCTTTAATTATATGTAGGAAAGTTGAAAATAGTGTGATTTCATGTCGTACCCTTATATGTTTGGATGTCTCTGTCGGTGAGACATTTGAGATTGGGGTTTCGTTTTCTAATCGAAATATATTATTGCAAAAACTTCACTAGTGAATATGGAGTTTGCTCTTTGTGAGTTATGATATTGTATGCTTTTTATATATTCTAAGAATACTTTTGAAAATTCTAAGCCAAGATCGTCTGTTTGAATTACATATTTGCGGTGATTCGGGTTTGGTGAGCTGAATTCTATGGTGTAGATTCCGTATTGTTGTGTCAAATTACATATATCTTTCAGATAGTGATCAATAATTTGTCTTTTGATCTTTACATCTGGGAACTCTGCTTTACATGGGCTGATTCCGGGTTCAAATAAATTTAGGAGAAAATTCTTGCATAATATATGCTGCCCTCTATCATTGGGTGCATCTACGAGGAAGGGGTAGATATCGTCATCATCTGGACTATCTTCACTTGGAGTGTGTGTTTGGCTCATTTTTTTGTTTAATGACTGTTAATAGGTAAATATCAATATCTCTAATTGGTTGATTCCAATTATATAAATGTACTGGTTTGTGTTTATATTGCTTTTTTATTCTTCTTTTTCCTCTTTTTGATGAATTTGAAGTTGTTTCTGAGTCGGAAAAATATAATTGATCGTGAATGGGGCAATTTTTATCTATAGATTCTTTTAATTTATAAAGTTCGTCTAAATTGCTGGCTTCTGGTTCTGAGAATGCGTTTCTATTTTTGGAAAATCTTTTTCGTGTTATTTGTCTTTGTTTGGTTATTATTTTCTTTTTTAGTGTTTGTCGTTTTGTTCTAATATATCCAACTGTTTGTGTATGAGGTGTGATTACAAGGTCGTATTTTTTGTTATCTATTTCACAGTTGTGTAAAACGATTGTTTGTTTGTTTCCTAGATTTTTAAATGACATAAGGTTTAGGATGACGGATGCAAAAAGTTGTTAGATGATTTCTATTTTCTTAAATTGTTAGTCCTTACGATTTTTTGGTTAGCTTAACCTGGGTCTTTTTGTTCAGGGTTGGAGAGAAAAGTATATCGATTCCGAAGAATGATTTTTTACTTTCTCGTGGCTAGTATAAGCTAAGGTGTTAACTTACTTAATCTTACTTAGGGGTAGTGATTGTGTTCAAGGGTTGGAGAATAGTAAATCGATTCACAAGGTTCAGGTATAATTAGAACGCGAGTAGTTCGTTAGATACTACTTTAAACTTACTAAGTCTAAGATTTATCCTGGGTCTGATAAGAGGAGGGTTCAATTGAAGGATGAATAACCGAAGTTCTTCACTGTTTATCCTAATTTGAATGATTAGTTTTGTTCAAAAATTTCTATTAGTCTTGGGTTTTTTGAAAGGGTTGGATAGTGAATCGACGTTTGAGGTCGTTAGACACTAGCTAAGTGGGTGGAGGAGAACAAAATTGTTCTTTTTGATCCAAGGATAGGCCTTGATGATCAAGTTTTAAATTTAATTAAATAGAAAATTAATTAAGATCCAAGGATAAGCCTTGATGATCTGATTTTAAAATTAAGTGAATTTAAGTTTAAAATGGTTTGAATTTGTTTAAGAAAAAGATTTAGTGTTTTAATGATATTAGTGAGCTTATGATTGCTGTTATGTTTTAGGTGATGAAGCTAGGACAACTGATGATTTTATGATTACTAACAGTTTATTGTCATGCTACTAATTTTTGTTTTGATTTTCAATAAACATTTTCTAAACATGTTTTATATAATACTGCAGAATTTTAGGAAAACGATCTGAGATCTTTTTATCAATCGTTATTGTACATTAATAGTTTTGTTTAGCGCCTGAAATGATTATGAAGATTGACTTCAAGATTTTATGTTTGTAAATGAAAATCTAAATTCATTGCTAATAAAATTCTAAATATAAAAGTTTGTGTTGGCTTTTGCCGTACTATCATATAACTATTTGGCAAGTTTCTACTTTGTCGTATGTCGTCTCTGGTTCGAGGTCTTCTTCCAATTCCGGGTAGTTCTATTATCGTTCGGAATATTGGCTCTGATCTATTGAGTCGTAGAGACATTTCGATTAAATTATCGTCGTGTAACATTTTAAAAATGTTTTGTCTAATTTCTAATCTATTTTTGGTTAATTCTAAGCTATTAAGGTCTTGTTCGAGACTTATGGTCGCACCAGATGAGTTATAACCGATGGTCTTAATTCATAGAGTAATTTCGGATAGGGTACACCGTCTGCTCGTCACGCTATCTTATTTTCGGCCGGATAGATTCGTGCAACTTCTTAGTCTAATACCGATCCTAATCTTACTCTTATACTATCTAGTCTCAGGTTGTTTAACTAGTCTCTGCTAGGCTCAATAGATCTAGGGTATACTGGTTTATTGCGGCTGCTGAAGTTCTCTTGGAGAGGCAACTAATTTCTAAGTTAAATTCATGTCTCTCTGGTGCTGAAATTACAAGTAATTTCAGCACTTACAAATAAGTGGGTTGTTAGTTAGATGGATCATGATTGGTTAATATTAAATACTTTACAGTGGTAAAATATCTAATTTATCCAATCATAAAATGTAGTTTAGATCAGGTTCCAGTTGATCAAAACTGCAAATGGTCCATTATCTAAGATATCCTTTTGTAAAATGATCCTATTTCAGGTTACAAAACTGGGTAGTAACGTTTTGGAAGTTGGTGTGGTATCTCTGTTGAATTTCGTCATCCGAGATCTGATGATCATCCATCTCCACTTCCTTCTTCAGATCCGCCAATGAGTCAGCCTTCCCATCTGCCCCGCCAACCACACTCTTAGCCCCAGCTACTGTTTTCGACTTACCACTCTGTCGACTCTTTGCACGATCTATGCCCTGTTTCTGTGCCACGTATTTTGGGTTCTCGTTTGTGGCCGACATGGTCACCGGGCCGAAGGTTCGATTTCCCGAAAAATTGTTGGTTTGATTTTGTTGTCTTGGTTATTAAAGCGAAAAATTGTTGATTAGTTACCTTTGTTTCTTTTTGTTCCAGACCGAATTCTCGATTTCTAGTTCAAAAATGATTTTTTTGTTTAGCAACTTTGACACGTGCCCTTTGAATATGGCGTGCATCACGATGTTTTCCATGCTGATTCTTAAGTTTGTAGATTTCAAATTCCATGGATAGCCTTTTCAATCTAAATAAAAAAAAGGTTTTGTCTCTACTACCGTTCCCTCCCCCACCCCACCGGATATGAAAATGAAAACAAAATTTTACTAATGTGTTTCCAATCTTTTTATCTTTTGTAAAACTGTTTTTTATTTGCATCAATTCAGGCTATGCTCAAAGTTTTTGCCTGAAAAGTTCGTATATGATCTTAACTTTTTAGGGGGATTAAACTGCCCGGGTCAATGTGCTATGTTTCGACTTTTAGAGTCGACCGCAATGCCTGTGCTCGAAGAATAGTCCAGCACCTAGTGCGACACCTAGTCTGAGTTACACCTAGTGCAACGTAGTGCGACAACTCGCTACAGAAGCAACTCACATTAAAACAAAGCTAAATGTTGCTTGCTGTTGGTAGTAGGTGAGGTTTAAGGTCGATTAAGGTCTTGAGGCTAGGTTTGAATGTGCTTCGTTATTATGATTTTTTTCAAACTTTTTTTTGAGTTGTCGTTTTCCTCAAAACTTGCAAGTTGTCTTTTGTTACAAATTATTTTTTGTTGTTGTTGCGAGTTGTTGTGCTACCTTCAAAAAAAGGTCAAATCGCAGAAATTTTGGACAAGTACGTTCGAAACTGAACGCGAGCATGGTCAAAACATACCTCGATCACGGTTAAAACATTTTTTTTAAACATTATGAAATTTCTTTCATATATCAAACAATTTTTAATATCGATGACTAAAATTAAATCAAAAGAGTATTCAGAAGAAAAAAATTGTTTGCAGTTATTACTCGAAAAGCACTTATAACCTTTACTTTTGGATATCTCATGTTAATTGAAAGTCAAAGCATACTCGAACTCGAATCAAATCTCGTTTAGATTGAGTACGGTCGAGCACATTTTTTTGGTCGAAAGAGTCAAAATAGTCACCCATGTATGTCGAAACGGTCGAAAATACCAACATTTGGACGAAACAGTCAAAACATAAAGTGAGGCTTGACCCGAGGGTTGATACCTTTTTTTCCGAGAACTAGTTTTGACAATATCCTGTCAAAGTCGGTCATTTTAACTACGTGACGTGATGTCAGTTTGTCGGTTTTTTTACTACATCTTCAAAAATTGACTCATGATTGCTTAGATTTATTAACTTATTCCATGAAACAGTAACTAATCATAAATTATCGGAGTTCAAATCTGAGAAAAAATGAATTGTCGTTGTTTCCCTAGAACTAGTCAAGATATTTACGCAGTCATGAGTTAGAAAACAAATGATTGGTTTTCATGACAGGAAATTTTATGCGAAACAAACAAATGAACGGCATAATAAAAAAAAAGATATTTACGCAAACATGTGTCAGTAAGCAATTGATTTGTCAAGCGAAATTGATTTGCAAAAAAAAGACAACTTTTGTACTTTTGTACCCGGGCTGAGGTCCGCGACTCACGTTTCGACCGACCGACCGAAGTATGTCTCCGAAAAGGATTTGTTGAGACCTAATTTCCATACTCCTGCAAGAGTCTTGAGTCGCACAAGATCACAACTTGGGTTGCCTTTAAGTCGCATCATAGCTTAAAATGATTCGCACAAAGTCGCAACATGGGTTGCGCAAAGTGGCAACATGGGCTGCGCGAAAGTGGCAACATGGGTCACAAAAAGTAGAATCATGAGTACCGTAAAATCGCAACATGGATAGCGCAAAGTCGGAACATGCATCGCGCAAAGTCGGAACATGCGTCACGCAAAATCGCAATGTGGGTCTCGCGAAGTCGCAACATGGGTCATGCAAAGCCGCAACATGGGTCACACAAAGTCGAAAAATGAGTCGCGCGAAACATTTTTCTCAACATGGGTCGCGCAAAATCGCAACATGAGTCGCGCATTATATAAAGTTTCCAGCAGTTTTAGTAATGAAATAATGTGGGATTTTTTTGCTTGCATAAGCAAAAAACAGAGGCAGATTGCAAAATAATCCAGTCTATATGAATTTCTTGTGCAGTTATTAGCTGATCGTATAAATGACCGCCTCAAGAAGGCCTGCTCATGATCGCAAAGTAAACGAAAAGCAGTTTTCTTTTTGGTGCACCAACAAAGTCGTTACCACAAAAATTGAAAAATAACCACAAAAAAATAATTGAAATTTATTATTAGAAAAACTATAACTAAATGAAACATACTTACCATGAAGATAAATTGGAAACAAATTTTGGTGAATTGTTTGCTGGAAAAAGCCTATTAAATATGAAAATTCCAAAATAAGCCAATCCGAATGTGTTTTAATGTGCAGTTAGCTGGACCAACGCATTTGCTGATCATATACAGGACTGCCACGAAAAGGCCTACCTGTAGTCCTAAAGTAATTTATAAGCAAACTTTTTGAGGCAACAATAAAGCCGTCACTACAAAATCGAAAAGCTAGAAAACAATGAACACAAACAACCAAACATGGAAAAAAATAACAGTCGTCAATTAATCAAAAAACAATCAACTGCAAAGACCTTGAGGCATAAACTAGCAACGATTCTTCTAAAAAAATGAAAGTGAATTGATGGTATACCTACACCCCCCCCCCCCAACTTGAACCATCCCTTCCCACCTGAACAACTCCCACCTGAAAAACTGAACCAACCTCACTTGAACCGCCAACTTCTGCGCACGTGGACCACCCCTCCCCAACTGAACCAACCCCACCTCCCCACGCACCTGAACCAACATCCCCCCGCACCTGAAGCAAGGGGGGTTGGGGTAGTTCAGGTGGGGGATGTTGGTTCAGGTGTGGTGGGAAGTGGAGTTGGTTCAGGTACGGGGGTGGTTCAGTTGGGGAGGGGTGGTCCACGTACGCAGAAGTTGGTGGTTCAAGCGGGGTTGGTTCAGTTTTTCATGTGGGAGTGGTTTCGGTGGGGGAGGAATGGTTTAGGTTGGGGGGGGGGAGCTGGTTGTTAGGGTGGAGTGGTTCAGGTTTCCAGAAGGGGGCGGGTTGGTTCAGGTGGGAGGATGTCAAGAAATTGTTGAAAGAAACAAAATTAAGTTATTGTGAGAGTAAAACAAAAGAGTAACAAAAATATTAAAGTAGCGCAGAAAAAAATAAAATTGAACTAGAAGTAACCAACTTTAGTTTGACACGTAGAAAAGACTTTGTGCTGAATTTTGCATTCCAATAAAAAAAAAAATGATTTTTATTGAATCTTAGTGTCAGTGTTCATAAAGAGATAAAAATCGATTATGAATCATTAAAATCTGATTTTGTTGCCTCAAAAAATGATAGTATTTGAATTCATTTTTATTGATTATAACCAATTTTTTTGTGGACACTGACATGGAATTACAATGTGGTTAAGAAACCGAATAGTCGGAAGGTCTGGTTCGTTTCCAGCCCCCATCCTTCATATTTTCTATTCTTGTAGTTTTTTTGTGTAGTTAAGACTAAACGTGTTGTGTTACGATAAAGCACGGAAGAAAAAGTCTGGTTGCAATTGTTACCCGCACTAGGTTTTCTCGGATAATCGGTTATATAAGGTTTTTGGCTCTTTTCCACTTCAATTTTTCCAATTTATTCAATTTTCTTTCATGTTTGAATGCTGAATGCGTGAGGTTGAATAACAAAAATGTTCGCACAATTATTTTGTTCTCCATACAAAACTTCATTTCTTCAATTTTTCAAACATGGGTTTTTTGACACGGTTTTTTACTCATAGGTGTTCTGTTTTCAATAGAAATACTGTCGAAAAACGTGGGTCTCCAGTTTTCTCTTAAAGTCAATTTTTTCATTGCATTATGACAACATTACTTTAGTTTTTCAAAAATAAAATTCAAATGTGGGGAAAAAGAAAAAAATCGTATTATCTTTTTCAGTCTGTTATCTTTTTCATCTTTTTCAGTCTGTTATCTTTTTCAATCGTATTATCTTTTTAATTATTTTCTTTTCATTCAAATCACTAAAATATATGTTAATTGATAGTAATCGATTATAAAGCATCACAATAATTGTTTCCAAAAATTGACCTAAATTTTAAAACTTTGCATGTTTTGATAAATTGACAGTTGCTTTTGGATTAACACACACCTTATTAGAAAAATATCAAAATTGAGACTTGTCTTAAACCGTTTGCCTGCCGGGCGTTAACCACCTCCTCCTACGTGGGGGTGGGGGTAAAATCGTGGGGCTGGTAAACCTTTGGGGGAGGGGAGAAGGCGTGTAGAACTTTGGGGGCGCACAAGGAGATGTTCATTTTCGTTTTGGTTCTAGTTTGATTTAAACGATTCCCATTTACAGAAAAAGTTGATTTTCATGGCTTTTACGAACAAAAACAATCGATTATGTTTTAAAAAATGGAGGTTTTTTATGGTGTAACGAGTGGTTTTAAAAGGTCAAGTATAAAAACCAAATATTAGTTTTCACTATGCCAGATTTTGTAATAATTGAACAATGTGAACAGAAAAATTACTCTTAAAAGATCGCATGCTGGAGAAGGGAATGATACGAAGCCAAAATAGCTTACAATCGATTATAATGGTTTTCTTAATATTGCAATATTTAAATATTATCCCCGAAAATTCCGTTATCATGGTTAAAAGAGTCATGTATAGCGATTATATAGTTCAACTTTTTGCTACATTAATCCATTAAATGTTTTTTTTTCATGAAACTCTTATGCGGGTGGTTTGTTCGCCATGCAAGTTTGATTGCATTATGACAACTTTAAACTAGTTTTTCCAAATAGAAATTCAAAAATGGAGGGAAAAAGGAAAAAAACCAAAGAGTCATATCAGCAAATCAAAAA